AAAAAAGCCTAACTAAAGATGGCCCTGGTGATAGCACACCCTGCTCAAGGAAAGGAAAAACCACAAAAATTAGCAGAAAAAAAACCCCAAAGGAACAGAGGGATAAATTATCCTTAATAATGTATCTGTCCTTGAAGCTCTCAGAGAGCACCCTGGGGTCCAGTGAGGGCTGCATTTGACACTGGGAGAGAGCAAGGAAATAACAGGAGTGTGACCAATATCACACCTCTGAACCTGTGGGTTCCTGAACGCTTACCTGACCCCACACCAGCTCTCCTAATCCAATAAATACACACCACATCCACTGGTCCAGCTGCAGGGGAGAACAGCTGAATGGTTTTCCTCCAAACTGGACAATTACTATCTGCAAAGAGAAGCACAGAGGAAAAGGGCTCAATTTTTCAGAGGGAAAAGGCAACAAAACAAATTTTCTGTAAAAACCCACAATCAAATCAACCAGCCAAACAAATAAAAAAACCTGCAGAATCTCAGTCACAAAAAAAATCCAAACATCAAATCCCACAAATTTATGCACCCCCAATCAAAGRTCAGGAAAAGCCACACTAGTTCAGACTGAACTTCCTCAGCCTCATATTTAACAATGAATGGTCAGGGAGAAAGCAAACAGGACAGTCCCCACGTGCTCTCCCAGCTCCTGAGCATTCTCAGCTGGGGATTTATCAACCCTGATCAAGTTTCTTCTGGAATGTCCATTTCAAGGGGGATTTTCCCCCTGATTATCACTTTATTACATTTACAGATGTGCATCACAGAGAGAGATGTACAGATAGCGCACCAAAGTCTGATCCTGCTGGAGGACCAGGSTGAGAAAAGCCCACACCTCCAGCAGGATAACAACACACAGTCTGAGCAGCTCATTAGGCTGAGAAAGTTTTGATCACTGAAAATCAGATATTCTTGATATTTCTTGTTAATAGTGCTGCTATTTCAGGGATCTGAAATCACAAGAGAGAGGTTTAAACTGCCCAAGTATTAAACCCAGGGGTCTGAATGAGCTGTTAAGGACCATCCCTATGAAGTTCTGCTCCCATCACTGCTGCTCTTTCCCCAGTATTCAGTTTATTGAGGGTTTTTTTCCCTTTTCCAATCACTGGTTCAAACTGCCCTTTCCTCCTCTCCCTCCTTCCAGGAGAAAGGTCCCAGACTGAGCTACCAGCACAGAGCTGAGCAAGAATTTCAAGACAGAAAAGGATTTCTAAAAGATAATATCAAATAGTATCAAGTGCAGSATGGAAGCCAGCAAATGGATGGATGCTGTAGCAGAAGGAGGAGTTCTTACAGAAGAAAAATTTGGCAAAAATGTGTGTTACTGTGATTATGTTCACTTGTGACTGGGACAGCAAACTCAGGAGAGGAACATGTGAAATCACAGGCGAGGAGCATTATTGCTGGGAACAGTGAGCAGCTATCTGAAGGTAAATTTGTCTTTTCATGGAGTAATAAATAGTTGCAAAATTCTTTATTGATATGCTATGAAATAATTTCCTCCTTAAAAATCAGTTACAATATCAGCAAGGGCTGTTATTATTGTACATGCTAGGATTAATTTAAGAATTAAGCCAATTCTAAGGATCAAAATTTAAGTTGCATTAGTCTGGGGGCTACACAACATTTGCTGTTATTAACACTTGTATTGATTGAGAAAATACATGAAAGGAGGTGGTTTGCAATTAAATGGGCCTCCTGCAGCACCTAGATTTAAAATTAAAAAAAAAAAAGAAAACACGCAGAAGAAAAGCCCCAAACAACTTAGGGTGGATTTCTGGTGCATGGTTCCTACTTCTTGCCCAAASCATTACCTGAATAGCGAATGTACCCAGGACAATAGTGCAAAARATAGGATTTCTGAAGATGCCATCAAAGACATTCCTCTCGCCGTGGATTTTGCGGGCGTTGATCTCATTGAAGAGCTGCATCATGACAAAGGTGTTGAAGATGATGGTGTAATGCTCTGAAGGAGGAGAGTGAAGTGGGGCATTCCTCCCACTGTCAATCTTAAACATTTTCTCACCTAGGTGTAAGACAAAAATCAAAGTTTCCACGGGAATGAATCAAACCAATTTACATTTCCCTTGTTTTCTTTAGTGCTCTGCTTTACCACCCTTCTCAAGACAATCTTTCTTGCACCAATGAGCAAAATATCTGAACTGAGCAAGAAGCTTTTCAAAGGATTGCTCCTATCTAATAACTCTGTACCTACACAAGGCTGTCAGTCTCACTCTCACCACACCAAGGAGGAATTATTCAAAGCTCTCAGTTCCTCCTGATGCAACAAACACTTCAGGTCACTGCCAGTGGGTTTGCAGTTTCCTGCAGCTTTTACCCATTTCCTAATCCAGTARCTTCTGCCAAGCATTCAAGGATATCCATGATAGAAAACACAAACACTCCTGGTTTKAAATGGGTGTGGGTTGATCAGCAGCAGACACTGCTGTTTATTCTGATAATTTGGCCGTCACTCATAAATCTGACCAATAAAAAAACAAGATACAACCCACGATGAGTACCTGTAAAACTGTGGTGAGTTTTGTGGTTAAGATATTTTTAATACTACAACCTAAAAGAGCCAGACAGTGAATTCTGCATTTCTGATGTGCCTGATGTCTCATTTACTGCATGTTTAAACACAGTGCATAAAAAAAAAAAAAAAAAAAAAAAAAAAAAAAAAAAAAAAAAAAAAAAAAAAAGAAAAACTTGATGCCCTGGTCTCTGCAGAAACCTACTACAAAAGAAAGTAAGTATTATTTGATCAAAATATAAATAATTCTCAATAATTTGAAATTTAATTATGGAAGCACTGAATTTAGAACATCATGTCACTGCAAAGCTGAGCCTTGTGGAGTTTAGAAAGGAAAACACTCTTTCCAGRGCTTATCAGAAAATTGTCTGGGCTGTGCCCTTCAAAGTATGCAGGAGTTTTCCAGGGACACACAGGAGCAATTAGAATATGGAGGAAAAGTCTGRTTTGCTTTTCAGCTGGCTCAGTATAAAGTATTTAAAATCATAAAACTCATCAAAAAGCCAATATAACTCCCCATAAAGTTCACAGAAGTTCTTGTTCCAAGATTCATATGTGAATTACCAACACTTTCTTCACCTATTTTAGAGAATCTGAAATTCAAATTTCCTGATCTAGACATTCTCAAAATTCCCTAGAAGTCCAACAATATCACAGACCATTCYAATACCACAGGCAATTTCTTTGGTTTAAGGAACTCCATTGTGAACAGACCACCACCTCCTCTAAGCTGCCAGATGGCCATAAAGTGGACAAGACTCACAATGGAGCTCAAAACCCCCCTACATTTGCAGCTTCTCTGGACATTTGTGTGTAAAGAAAAAARATATCTGAAAGACAGCACATGTGATTTAACAGCGACTACAAAGTGACAAGGAGACAATTGAAAAAATCATTGGAGAGGGTTCAGTTATTATTGTGGAGCACCAGAATCTATTATTAGCTGCTGCTCTTCCCTGCAGCAAGAAACRTTTCTCCTCCTTCCCTGCCCTCTCCAAAACACAACCTATAAAAAGCATCCACTGCCTGCAAGGCCTGAAGACGAATCCAGTAATCCAATAAATTAGACTTTTTGCCCCCTTTTAATATCCATTCCAGAAATTAAATGTCAGAGCAGAGTGTTATTTGTATTACTTAATACTGATTACTTGCTTTCCATACTACTTAAGATCAATGTTATTTCTGGACTATGGACAACACTTTGCTCTCGCTTCTGCAGCCCTTGGTAAAATGTATCTTGACTTCTATTGGGGTTTTTTCGTGGGATTTTCTTAAATTTGTTTTAACATCCYTACTCATGATGACAAGTTGTCATGSTTTTACTTGGTCCGATTTTTTGGTGGTGGGGGGATGGGATCAAGAAACCACAAAGATGGCTGCTGTGAGAAGTTCTAGAAACTGTCTCTTGGGTRGGGTGCAGTGCTTTTAATTTTCAGCACAGTCTAAACCACCACACAAGTCTCACAGAGAAAATTCAGTATCGAAGCAGCAGGGTGGATACTCCTGCTGTAACATAACCTTCTATGCTGTGTTTAGATAGAAACTTCTGCCAAAGAACAAGTCTGCATTTTGTGAGGGGAACAAAAAGCTTGATGAGGCCCYTCCCAAGGGCCCCAATAAGAACACACAGGGGAGTCATYCCCYAGTTCTAGCACCTTCTAGATTCTTCCCCCCTCAGGTGAGGATTTTGTTTATAAAATATATGTCCTGAAGAGCTGCTCTCAAACCTGGTTTCTCAGGAGAACCAAGACAGCACAGGAGCTTCAAACCCCCAGCATGGAGGCTTTTGGAATGTTTTGTCTTTCTGCCTGGRAAAACACTGAGCTGAGCTACAGATGCACCTACAGAGCTACAAATCTGCGTGTAAAGAACATAAAAGAAGGCAGAAAACCAGCACGACATCATTTCCAACCCATGGAAGGTGACTGAAACGTGCCACGTTCTATGTTTTGCAGCCTCATTACCCAGCTGGATAACGAAGGCCCACAATAAATGTGCGTTAATTTGTTACATTTTCAGCACTTTGGCTGCACAGCCCAGAGCTGGTGAGCTGAGCAGAGTCTGGCCAAGCTGCTCACCGACAAAGAGCAGGGTGAAGATGAGGGTGAGCTGGTAGACGGCGTGGCCCAGGATGTTTTTCATCATGGTGCGCGAGATGAGCGGTTTGTTGCGGCCGTAGGGTTTGCGCAGCAGCAGAGCCTCGGTSGGCGGCTCCGTGGCCAAYGCCAGCGAGGCAAACGTGTCCATGATCAGGTTCACCCACAGCATCTGCACGGCCTTCARGGGAGARTCCTGCAGGGAAACATCAGGGAGTTAGAGAATTCCCAGGAAAAGCCTCGCTGGGGTTCCTGTTCTGCTCATGGGGCAGCGAACGGGACTGGGAAATACCCGGGCTGGATCCTTTGCTCTCCTTCTGCTCAGTGATCTCACCAAAGATCAATTATCTCTCCGAAGCCATTTAAATCAGGACCATTTGCAACCACAAAACTCATATAATGCATGACAGTAACTCTTTAAAACACCTATTGCAACACTCTCCACACATCCTGCTTGAATTTTCAGCTGAATTTAGATAACTAGATAATCCCAGTTTCTCTCCTGGAAGAAAAACTATATTGAAACAGTTTAAAAAGTAACATTTCCTTTTTACGATAACCTATCTTTTTTCTCTTTCTTTCTTCTATTTTTTTTTTCTTCAGAAACAGCTTGAAATTATTAAAAATTTCTGGAACAATTAGAGAAACATCTTGATGCATTACACTCAAATAAGACCTTTATCAGTAATGACRTCATAAAAAGAAGCCTGATATTTTGATAAAAAATGCCCTGAAACTTATTAAACTATATAAAATCTGCAAAAGCAAGGCAATCTATTCATTTACTAGCAATAGGAAAGCGTATTTGGAATCACAGAAACGGAATGATGAAAGCCAAATACTGGTATTTGATGCAGGCTGTAGTTTCTGAAGCAGCTCTGCAGTCACTAGAAGGAGCTCTTTCCTCACACAATCCCATTGAGTCTGCGGTCACAGTGCAGAGGACTTTAGGTCACGTTAAAAAAAAACCCCAAAATTAACTAAATACAGCAAATGAACACAGATCTCAGGAGAACGCTGACAACTCTGATGAAGTTTTGAGGTGCAACTCACTGGGGCAGCTGCAAGGGGAGAGAGATGCAATTGCTCCAAGGAGCCAGGAGAGGAAAAATGAACAAGGTTCCTTTTGTAACAACCTCCCGCGCCTTTAGACKCTGCATAAAACAGGCAGCATTAGCAAGGTCTGCTTCCTGTTCCAAACAGACCATTTTTATTAGGAAAAACGAATCTCCAAAGCAATAAGGCATCAACATGACAAATCTCATCATGAAATTGAGTTACTCTGCAGTGTGAAAGCTGGAAGAGGAAGCACTATTTTTATGCATTTCATTACCCTGCTGCTGCAGCAGCGAAGCAAAAAAAAAATGTAGAGGACAGGACAGAAACTGAAGCAAAGCCAACAAAACTCCTGAGAATTCTGCCCTTTTCTTCAAAGGGTTAAATGTTCATTTTTAATGAAATACTATAAAACAACATGGGCTACCATTTAGCATCCCATGGATTTATAGAGAATGAGGGCAAGTGGATTGGTCTCTTGTGCATCTGGTTTAGATTCCAACTCTCCCTTAAGATAAAATATTATTTCCCCTTAAAAACACATTTTTAACACATTTACACAAATTTTGATGAATTTCATTTACTAAAAAAAACCAACAAAAACCTTTTGGCTTATTCAAAGGGATGGAGAAAAGCAACCTCCTGTTTCAAAGTCTTACAGGTTGGGCTTATCATGGCAAGGAGGATAATTAACATTAATTTTGACCTCTTGGTTATGGCTTCCATTAACTGGGCTTATCTGGACTCACTCCTTTCACATGCAGCTGCAGAAACAGGAAATGTCTTTGTCCTTGGAGGTGACTACAAAATTAAAAGTGGTCAAGACAAACTTCATTCCAAATGGAGACCTCATTTATTTTTATTAATACTGATGGCTCCAAAAAAGAGAGCACTTGAGTGAAAGTAGTTTGTGACTGGGGCTCAGAGACCCTTGAAGGGACTCAGGGAAAAAGGAAAACRTCTTTTCTGCTGAAGAACTTTCCCTGCCATGTTTTTGCCTGTCTCGTTAATAAGTTTGAGAAACATTCTCCTGTTACAATATCTGTTACAATAACTCAATTTCCACTTCACGCACAGAATTCTCYGTCAATAAAACTGAATTTCCCTGTTACATTTAATAGATAGAGGCAGAGATTCAGGTGTCTATCAGAGCCTGCCATATTCCCAGCAGCACGGAAAGGCAGATTATTTCAGTCTCTAAATCACACAACTGTAATTGGCAGTCATCAGTTTTGGCAACAGCATGTTCTCACCATTTCACACTGCCAATCACCTTGGGTGGCTGTGGTGCCCCTAATAATTATCTATTATTGGCAGTGCTGCACTGCTCAGTCGACTGTGAGAGCTCATTCCAGGCTGAAGCCAAAACATTAAATACACATTAGTCTGGGCAGGCAGTGGAATGAAATTTCCACTGCAACTCTATCTGATTTCTGATTAGTTGGTGGAAACTGAGGAAAATACGTATCAGCTAAGGAGCTTAGGCTTGCACTGCAGATTTCAGTCTCTTATGCAAGTGGGAGGCAAATCAACCTTCTTTTCTCTGTGGTTTAGCCACTAACTGACCAGCCAATAATTCTTAATTCCCTCGCTGAGAACTTTGAGGATGTGGACYATCCAAAATCACCACTTATTCATCAAATTCCTTTCCACTTGACCTTGGAATAGGTTAGCCTTGGCCTAGAGGTAAAAGGAAAATGTCCCTTAAATCAAGTGATGTTACACTTCATCTTGGAAACACTTAAAAGTACAAATCGCCAAAGGCTGGAAATAAACTACAAATCCTTTGTGACATGCAGAGCCTCACAAATTTTAGAGCTTGTTACTTTTGATTTAGTTGACAAGCTGCAAGGGAACAAAAAGGTATTTTCACCCTTACCTCTTTAGTACCATTTGTCACTGAACACATGCAGGGATTCATAAAAAATGAGCATTTCTGCGAGGTTACCTTTCTATACATTAACGGAAAAAATGTCAGCCCTCCCTTGTGCTGCTGGATTGCACTGTCTGCTAATTGCATGGAAGTGGCATCCTCAATTCTATTCCCATGCCTCTATGCCTTGCCAAAACAAAGCTAAACAGTGCAGACTTTGATTTTATATTACAGACTTTGATTTTCTATTACAGCTTTTTCAGGTTTGCCAGTGCTATTATTTTAGAATTTGCCAAGTACAGTTCTGCAGTAAAACATTAGAACCACATAAATTACTGCCTTATACATGTAAGTATAGATCATCCTCATTTTTTCGAATAAGATCTGTAAAAACAATCAGTGATTCATGCACCAGTTCATTGCTACAGTGCCTTTTAATTAACATTTAATTTTCCAAACACAATGTCCTATGGAGTCACTGTTTTCAGCTCCTAATGTCTGCTAAAACATTACGTCTCTCTCAAAGTGCAAGAATAATAATTTGAATGTAAAATGTTAAAACACAGCCTTTGTCTTCCCTTCCTTTGGTGCAACCTTTCCGAACAGTTACAATTTTCTCACCAGTTGGAGCACAGACCGAATCTGGCACGGAGATAAACCCGCTTGCTTTATGGCTCCAGTAAAAAACTCTTTCCATTTGACTGAGCTGCRTTTAAAAACCTTCATTTTGTTCATCCCCAGATCACTTTGAACAGCTCCAAACATAATGAACTCATATTTTCTTGGTGCTGTGGGTACGCTGGGGACAGGAAGCGGGATGAGCCCGTAYAGAGCTCCATAGGACACGCAGAGATGTGGAGCAGTGACTCACTGCAGGCACAAAACTCCCMAGAACCGTAGGCAGAGCTCCAAAGAACCACCCTCACTGAATCGATCAGGGGCTCTGCAAAGCTGTTATTCAGAGAATGAAGTCAGAATATAAAAGTTTGTAACTCATAAATGTGCTGGAAAAACAAATGACGGGTTTGAGCTGAGGCAGCRGGGAAAGGACAATTCAGACAATTCTACACAAACTGGTCAAGACCACACCCTGATCCCACTAAAAGCCTGCAGGGAAGGCAGCAAGAGGGAGCTGAGTTAGACCAGTTAAAAGATAAGGTGCATGGGTCCAGCTCAGGGGCACTGAGGCACACAAAGCTCCCTGGAGCAGCCAGAGGTGGAACTGCTCGGGGTCTGTGCTCAGACAGGGCTGAAACCCCCTGCACCCCAGAGGGAGGGCAGCCTCTCACAGAGACCCCTTCAAACTCTGCCTTCGTGCACAACCCCGACCCCAGAGCTCCTGACACAATCACAGACTCCCAACACACAATTCATTCTGGCTGAGCATTGCTGGTGGCTCAGGGATGGAGCTGTGAAGCAGAGCAGGGCCCGGTGGAATGGAGCTCCACGGGAGGAGCAGCTCGGAGCGGCTGTGCTCAGCTCGGAGMGGCTGACACTGCAGCGGTAATTCTTACACTGCTCCGAGTGTCATTGCTGTCACCTGAACATGGCTTCGTGCTGGGAGCCAGGGGAGACCAGACAAACAGCCACTTGTGTTGGTGCTGTGCACGATAACTCAAAGACAGCCACTGTTTGTCCTTTACAAGCTTTATCTAAGCTGGAGCAGCGCAAAGGGTCACAGACACTTTGTGCACATAAAAAACCAGCACAAAACAGAGATAGTAGATGTGGTAGATATTCTCTAACAGCAGCATCTTGAAGCTATTGGGTAGATAAAAAATAAAATTGTATTTGGTTAAAATTAGCAGAATTAAACTAAACTGCAATTCCCTGAAGTGGAATTGGCAAGGACCCTCACTTTATTAATCTATTTGATAAAACAAAGCAGCAGATTATTAAAATGAACCACTAATGCTCCCAGGTTCTGCCTAATGTTGTTCTTTAGCCTCTCCATGGGCCTCCTAAGGTGCTCTGGACCAAACAAATCATCTCCTGCRTGGGCAATGCACTCTCTGAGTGCCCCTTGGAGGGCTGGCTTCACTCCCCCCAGTGCTCACACAGCCATTAATTAATTCATTAATACAGAATTGCTGTGGTTTCACTCGGAGCCCTGCAGAGAGATGACCACATCCTCATATTYACATGTACACCAGAGCAATTGCAGCATCAACACTGAATAAAATGAAGCCTATTCAGTTGCAAGGTACAAGCCAAGTGTTAAAAAAAGATTAGGCCAAGCAAAGATTTGACTGTCTTTGTACTTTCTTTGAGCACAAGCCACAAAGGGCAGGTGAGTGCAAAGGCAGCTTCATCCTGAAGCATCCCGGTGGGCTGGCTCCAAACTGCACAACAGATTTGTTGAGGAGTGACATGAGGAAACAGAACAAATGTTATTACCTGCAGAGAATCTTTTTGCATTCTAGATATGTTGAAATGTCACCAGAAGGAACCTGAGTATTAACAGGGGACTGAAATCATATTCTGTGTGTCAGAGAAAGACAAACTGACCACCTAAATCAAAGGACAATTCTGTGCAATGTGGACTTTCTTCACATTCATTTTGAAGGTCACAGGAAGCTGTGCTGCCTTTTGGAAACTCTAGATTTTACCTTCTTTTTTTTGTTAAGGACTAAAACATTTCAGTCAAAACCTTTTAGTCAGACCTGTGCCCAGATGTGCACGGACATGTGTGCACCTAGACTGTCRTAGGCAAGACTTTGGGGTAGAGTCCTACATTCTGTGCTGGAGCTATTTTCATWGCAACCAGAGGGTACAGCATGTTCCCAAGTGCAATTTTCAGTCAAGCTTTGGAGCCAAGCAGAATGTCCTTTGGCTGGCTGGAGTCAAAACCCAACACAACAATGTGCAGTTGTGAGGCAAAATCCTTGAATGAGACAGAAACGGGAGCAGCTCGAGATCACCACAGCAGCTGAGTGTGAACAGTGGCAAAGGGCAGAGCTGCTGCCTCTCTGCTTCCATTTCCATTTCAGCTTCTTCCACACCTTTGTGGAACCCCAAATTGGATTTGCATCTTTACTGCTAAATTAAGGAATTTCACATGGAGCTGCTTGCAAAGCAATAAAGGAGTTGCAGGAGGTGACCATCAGAACCTGTGAGCAGGGACAGCAGGCTCAGGGCTGGTCACACAGACCTCTTGGGCAACAGGAATGCACTGGGCCTGATCCAAATCCTTCTAGAAGCCAAGGGAACGATTCAAAGGATGAAAAATGCTCCAGAATTAAAGAGGGGAATATATTTRCACTGCCTGCACACTCCACATGCCCTTAGACTTGATCTAAAATAACCCTTTAACCTTCTCGGGGATAAACCAGCAATTCCTTAATTAACAAATAGAAAGTATTTCCCTTCATGTCTTTACAGAGCAACAGAAGAAATGCAGGCATTGACCAAAGAGCTCACTTAAAACAAGTGCTCCTGGGCAGAGACTGAAGGTCTAAAATCAGGGTCTCACAGCAGCACTGGCTCTGGCTGCAGGGATGGTGCTCTCAGCACCTTGCTCTGGGTAGTTTGTGGCCCATARAAACCTTCCTTTTAGTCCTTATTCTGGTGTTACCAGCAACAATCACTTCACAGCTGGATCTTTTCTCAACGTGCTTAAAAATATTTCCAAATGGAAATTGATGCAACTTTGCTGCAACAGCAGGAATTCTGTCCCTCAGCACGGGCTCAGTGGTGACAAGAAGGGACCTCCAAGGCCTCTCAATGTCAGCCAGGGCGTAGGAGAAGTTTGACCTCGTGGGTTTGTGAAGGTACGTGGGTTTCTGGTTGCAAGGATCAGTTCCCTGATTCCAGTGTAAGTTTAGCCCGGAGCAGAGCTGATAACTTATTCATTGCTTTGCTCAGGTGTGCCTGGGCTGAAATGTACCTGCTGAAACAGCTCTGGGCAGCTGGGGGATGCACCAGCAGGGAAGCATCAGCTTTCCCACACTGCATCCCAACCCAGGGAGGCGTTCTGTGACAGCACCTGCCTGCAGCATCTGAAATACACATCACTGGAGGGAGAGACAGCACCAAAAACTGCATTGGGCTATTCCCCAATCAAAGACAAAACCATTAAATTGTTCTGAATAGACCCTGTTTTCTCTCTAGGGAAAAGAAAATTTWAAATTTATTGATCAAGAAATAATTTGAGAGGAAAACTAAATTGTTTGCTTTTTTTTTTTTTTTAAATGACCTGGACCTGACCCTTGCATATGCACCAGGATTGCCAATGAGGGATTAATGGAGTGGAAGGAAGAGAGGTCTAAGTCCAACTCTATGTGTCATTTAATTGGTTTGTCATCTGCATTTGGAATTAAAAAGAATTGTCTGAAAGCAACAAAATCCTTTTATCAATCAAAAAATACTGGGATCGCTCCTGTGTTTCAGCAGTGCTTTCTGGAGAATAATCTCATTCCATAATGCATAAAAAATATGTATTTATTAGTGAAATATTCTGATAGGAAAAGGCCAATTCACATAACCTCCTGCTTCTCCCAATCTATGATGTTTTCTGTTTGACCATCACAGGCTCAGGGATATTTCTCAGTGAAATGTTCTGAGAGGAAAAGGCAAATCAACACAAATTCCTCCTTCTCTCAGTCCATGATTTTTCCAGTTTGACCATCACAGGCTTAGGGATGACAACACCATGTACCTAAAACCAGGGAGGCCAAAACGACAGGCTCCTTTGGGAAAGGATGGATTAGCCCCTGTGATGTCAGCAGCTCTCTAACCCTCAGCAGGGACCCTGACCCTTGCAATGCTCAGAATTCCCAGCAGCAATGGGATGTGGGAGCAGCAGCAGCAGGATCCCCAGCACCCTTGGGGTGCTCACCTGGGTGATGCAGGCGCCCGTGAAGGCCACGATGACRGCCACGATGTTGACGGTSAGCTGGAACTGCAGGAATTTGGAGATGCTGTCGTAGACGTTGCGGCCCCACATGACGGCCTTGACGATGCTGCTGAAGTTGTCGTCTGTCAGGATGATGTCCGAGGCCTCCTTGGCCACGTCCGTGCCCGCGATGCCCTGCAGAAAGGGGTGGCAATGAGATTTCCTGCTAGGGAGCACCAGCTTCACACTCCATTTTGTATTTCCTGGAATTTCGCTAATTCGGCCKCTTTCGGAAGTGAATTTGGCCGCAATAAAGGGAATTGACAGAGAGCAAAGGAATTCATGTGGTGATGGCTCTGAGTGTTTATGATTGCTGATCATCGAGTTATTTTTGTCATTGATAATGTTTTATTAATATCCACTAACAGAATTGGGAACTAAAATTAGAATTCTGTGCCTTAATATATAGGCAGAATACACACGGAAGACACCTTGGCAATTAGCAGTGGATTTTGCCACAGCAAAAATTCCTCCACTGTTGTGAAAAAAAGTTCATTTTTCTGTACGAGCCCAGGATTCTGCAGAAAATCAATAATTAATGAGGCAAAATCCTGAAGAAGTATCAAGAAAAGCAATGCCAGTGAATCTGACACAGTGAATTAAAGGATTCTGATGCAGCATCACTTGCTACCTCCAATAAATTCCTTCACTGACTAAGCAACTTAAAATGTAATGAATGAAAAACCCCTTACAGCAAATTCATAATGGCACAAACATCAAGATTATACCATTGCAAAGCCAACATCAGCTTTTTTAAGTGCTGGTCCATCGTTGGTTCCATCCCCGGTCACAGCMACCACCTGCCTCTGTTCCACCTGTGTGCTGTCAATAATACCTGCAAAAAATCCATATAAAGGTGTGYTCAGAGCCATTCCTGGGCAATAATTAGCAAGAAAAAACATCCCTCTGCAAAAGCAGGCTCTTCTCATACAGATTGCATAACACCACACAGTTTTACAGAGATTAATAGCGCTGATCTTTAAGGAAAATAATGATGAAAGCAGCGGCATCACCACCATTCATTACTAAACATCACCGTTAGAATTTACATGGAAGGTTCTGATCCTGYATCATCAACACATCAACAAAACCTGCCCAGACTTCAAAGGCAAYGAGAGCAGCTCATTATGTCCTTTTGGCAGATTCCTGCTATTTAAAATTATGTGTCACAAGCCAATGCTGATCAAACAGCAATGGAAAAGATTTGCCAAAATATTAAGTTCATGCTTTGGGCTCTCCTAAACTGGGACCCAGCTGTAATATCAGCTTTACTAGGAGGCCTTCTTAATCTAAAGATAATAAAATCATTGATTAATTTTATTTAGCTGATGCATTTTAACAGCCATGTTCAAGTCYGCCAAACAATGACTAAGGGGATATAAAATAATTCCTTAAATTCTGGAACCAAACATTTTCATAAATAGGTATAATAAAATAATTTCTACTTTAATTTTGAGATCATTTGAGGGGAAAAAAGCACTTTTCATTTGGTGAATCAAGCTTCACACAACAAGACTGCAGGGAATTATTTTCCACTTATGCAGATAGGGAAAGTCAGGAAAAGAATGAAGTATTTTTCTGAGGCTACAGAAGCAGCCTGTTTTTTTTTTTTTTTTTAATAGGATGCAGCTCATTCACCACTCTTGTTTCTATTTCCATGTCAGGGTCCATTTGAACGAGTCCAGAAGACAGGATTGTTGTGTAGGATACAAGAACACCTTTCCATATTGATAACTTAGGGGACGAAAAGGACAGAATTCCTTTTGCTAACACATTTTGCACAGAGTCATAACCTCCAAAAACAATTATCCAAACCTACCCAGTGTGAAAAGCTTTCATTCTAGTCAGAAAAAAATTCCCTCCCCTATCAGATAACTAAGCAGAAATAGGAAATTGCAGATTACAGAGCAATAGCTGCCTTTTGGCAAGGTTCAGGCTTATCAGGCACCAGAAGATTGCAGTGCCCTGTGCAAGCAGTTGGTGCCCTGTATTTTTCAGACTTWTGAAAATGAGAAAAAAAGCCCTATTCACTTTCCACTGGCAGTATGATCTCAGACAAATGGCACATTACTCTGATTAGATCTTACAATTAGAGCTTTCAGTTTGTTGGGGTGATTTGCCTTTGGTATTACTAAATAAACAGGACCATCATCTGTCACTACTGTTAAAAGCATTTACTTGGTCTTCCCTTCTTGCTATTAACACATCCTTTSATGTTAAATTAATAGTTTAAGCTTCTGAAAAGAAAAAAAAAGTCATCAAAATCGCTGTCTCATTAAGGTATTAACTGCTCCAAAGAGGTCGGCAGTGTCCTCTCTCCACTGGGTTCCAAGTGGGAGCACAACCCAAATCAAGTTGAAGAGGCTCTAACAAATGATCTCCGAGCAGAGATAAATGGATATAAATAGTGACTGTGTTGATGACTGTGCCACCAACTGCCCTCCGCCAGCCAATTCCAGGATGCTGCCAAGTCATTCACAAGGTTTAGCAGTCATTCACGAGRTTTGGGAGACTTTGATCCCAAAAAAACAAACCGTGCAGCCGGATGAGCCCGACACTGCCCAGAGCACAGAGCTGCATAGACAGCAGCCACGGAAAGCAGACACAGAAAGGTCTCAGGTGCCATCAGCATCTGAGCCCAGCCCTGCCCCAGCCCTTCCCTGCAGGGCCAGTGCCACTGGAAACACATGGAATTGTGGGGATGGACTTCAGAGCTATCCATGGGAAGAGAGAAGGACTCTGCCAAACTCCCATCTGTACGTCAAACAAATTCCTAAAATGGAGCAGCAGTGATTATTTGGGATTCAGAGGAATTATCACAGCTCTGCTGACACTCCTGACTTGTGCCTGCTCTTTTTAATCTGTTCCTCCTCCCTGCTGCCTCACATTGCTGAATATTTGTCTCCTTTCCAGCACGTTCCTCCTTCCAAACACATTGAGGGTTTTATTTCAGTGTTCTGTTAATGGCTGTCATAAGGTTTCACCTCAAGGATTATCCTCAGTATTGAGAAATATTCCAATATAAAACTCATATACAGTGTGAGGAGACCAAAGGCAAGAGGAATACCCAGRAAGGGTTCTTTCTCTGTAGGCCTGAGCTGCGGGGATCAATCTCTGGTAAAATCAGGGCAAAATGTGACTGAGGGCATGAGCTGATAGGCTGCCAGTGATGAGAACATCCCTGGCCTTTCCACTCATTCCAAGTGGTTCAAAGAAGCTGCAGTAYTAATCAGTCATGGAAATGTCTCCCAAACATACAGCTTTACTCCAGGTGAATGTTCACCTACAGAATTTTTTTTTTTTAAGTGGGGGGTGGTTGGTTTATGTCATTGCAGGGATTTCTCCAACTCTCAGCAAAGCTTCCTGCCAAAACAGCCTTTGCTCTTTCCTTGGCCTCTTCCCTCCTTTTGAGCTGTTGGGCCATGACTTTCTCCTGTCAGAAAGGATTTCATCCAACAGCCACAGGAACGCACCTGGAGCAGAACATGACAGTGTGTTCAGTGTGTTCCACACAGGGATTCTGCTGATGGGGCAGGAATTTGGGAAGGAGTCCTGCAGCTTGCATAAGCCACAAGTTCCTCTGAGCAAGCGGCTTGTGTCAGATGAGGGCAAAGAGCACATTTAAAACACGCACGCAGAGCTGTCAGCAGGGGCACTAAATGCACAAGCTTGCTATAAAAAGTACCAGCTCTGGATCCAAAACTGAAATATATCCTGCATCTAACATGGAGCAAGCATTAAATGAAATCCACTCGGGATAACAACCTAAAGAACATTAACGACAGTGCCTCTGCCATTCCCTTCACGAGGAGCTGCCTGCACCCCATCTCAGCTCAAACCCGTCCCAGCCAGCCCTGGGCTCTCCCTGTGTCACAGGACTGCCACTGTCACCCCCAGAGTCACACCAGGAACCAGCCACTGGCTCTGGGAGAAAAAAAATCCTGGTTTAGAGATTTATTCCTGTCTCAACTGCTTAAGAGGGGCAGGAGAAACTCAGCCCCAGCTGAGCATTTGAGAGCTGAAGCCCAGTGCAGGTGTTAGAGGCAGGAAAGCTGATCCTCCCACACGCTCACACAGATTTGTGTTTCCTTGACAAGCTAAACATAGGTACAGCCATGTATTCTCATAAACACGTCCTCCTTGGATTAGTTTTTAATACTTCCCAACTTTTTGAGGCTCCCTGTTAATTTAACTAGCATTTACAAAGTCTGTCTGGAAGAGAAAGCTCAAATTTACTTGAGTTACTRCTTGGGTACGTGCCTGGACAGAGATTCAAAGGTTAATATAAAAATGTTCTGCATGGCATTACAGACAGCACTGGGAATTAAGTGAAGAGTCCTCCCCAAAGTTCAGGATATCAATTAATACCATTTTCTGTATTTTTCATTCTACCCAGTCTCATGGCTTTCCATATTAATGAGGTTATGAACATACTACCATCCCATGGACTAATATTTGAAATATTCTAGAATTTAAAGGTAATTATTAAAAATATTTTCTTTAATGTTCCATTTCTGCTTGATAATAAATCATCCCTAAATGTGAACAGTTTTTTTTGTGATCAACAAAAATTAGTTCCAGTCTAATTTAAATATRTTAGAARGCAYAGCTTCTTTAACTKGTAAYGTGGGCATTTCTTTGATCTCCTCCATAYCTTCTGCTGATACTTCCCATCAGTGCTAAACAGTTGCTTCCCACTACGTTTTTAAAAGTTAAACAATTTTGAATTATTTCAGCACTAGCACAGGAACAGCAYATCAGTATAAATATGTGGTTTTACTTGTTATATTTTGAAATAGAGTAAAAAATATGAAATAATACCAACAGGTGTCTTAAACTCCATCTCAAATTGTATTTCARTGGGACTGAGATTTTTGTTTCACCRAAGYAGTTTGTGATGTTAAACCACTCTGATGGGTTTTTTCCAAACTACCTCTACTTCAAAGCCATAAATATTTGAAAGCAAAGCCTGCCCAGGCTGAAATGCTGAACCATGCCTTTCTCAGGTCCCTGAGCAGTAGTAAAAACAAAAGTGAAAAATAAAAATTATCCTTTTGCTGGGTGGGACTGTGCTATGTTAAGGRGAAAAAAAATATTCCCTCCAGCAGCTGTATGTCATTAAAAATTAAATATAAAAAAAGTTTATTTTCTGATGTGTGYTTTTAGCCTAGAGCAGATAGAACACATCAAAGGGGAGAAAATCCTCCCCATCCCTCAAGTGTCTGAGAAAAACATAACATTTTAACAAGAGGCCCAAAACTAGTGAACATTTAAATAGTTTCTTGTAACTTTTAATGGCCCCTGGAGTATTACCAGCCAAAAAATTCCATCATGATTTCCACAGACTTGTTCTTGAACTTTGTTAAGATACTTAATTGCTCTCTCGACCTTGTTGCATCTTTAAAACATTAATTGTGCTCCTTGCATGTGGCAGTCAGTAGGAGTAAATATCTTTGGGGCTGTCATAGTGCATATGCTACAAACCATCAACAATTTGTTGTTCCTTTTTCTCCAGCTCTCTGTTGATTTCAAYTTCCCTGGCAAAGGTTCCCTTCTCCTCTGGAGGGAAAATCCTGAATGATTCAGACGAGCACTCCCGAGGGACTGGGTTAATCCACTTAATGAAACCCAAATTATTGTGTTTCTGAAAGAATTCAGCTGTGGGGCTGTGCGAGGGCTGCACTGAGAGCTGTTAGACAGGATTTGAGATGCACAGGGGAKGGGAGGAGACTCAGCTCACCTTGGGCAGGTCTAACACTGACCCACRGAGCTAAAAATGCCTCCAAACCTTTCCAATCCCAAACACCTGCTGGAAAACTATCTAGGAGCAGCTCCCCCAGGTATGTCTATGAGTGATAAATGACACATATGGATTATTCTATTAATAAATTGTGTACATATCAAACACACATAGCAAAGGGTGAGATGGATATGATACATTCTGTGCCCAGCTGCCCCATCCAGCACCATGCCAGAGCTCCCTGCAATCATCCRTGTTTCCACCTGCTCTCAAGCACCAAGGACCCAAATGATCCAACCTTCAAATTCACAATAGAAGTTCTGCTCTAAAGTCACTCAGGCATTTAAAAAATTCCGTATTTCTCAAAAGCCTTTGTCATCAGTCATGTGTGAAGCGTCAGCAATGAAACCCAAAGATTTCCTATCTAAATGGGAATTATTACAGGAGTAATCAACCAGCTGAAATCATGTGACTGATCATGGCACTTTAGCTGCTCCAAGAATTGCTAAAAGGGGCTCTCCAGACCTTCCAGGGCCTTAGCAAACTAACCCTGCTCATTCTTCMTCAGGATGCCAGGAAACAGCCATCTGCTGATGGGGCTTCCACCTGGGCATGGCCAAAAATGAGATTATTCCTGCTCAGAAACTGCCTGATTTCATCAGCTTTTCAGTGTGAGCCTCAAACTCAACAGAACAAGATGTCAAGCCATCAAAAGAAAAAGCAAACTGCAAACCAAGCCCTCTTTAATGGGAGCATTCCTACAATGAGAGAATGATGTTTGTACAGTGCAGTTCTTACAGGACAGACCCTAAAACTACAGAAATCTAAAGGAAGCCAATGCAAATCACACAATTAAATGAGTCTATAGGAAATGGAATTGSGTAAAAATCCCCCAGTCCACTGGGMAGCTCCCAGTTCCACATCCCAATAACAGCAGTTGTGGCAGAAAATGTTTCTTTTCTCTGGGAAAATATCTTTAACTCTTTAAAATAATTGTGTGAGAACAGATGCACTTGAGTGGCTAGATTCACTCTAAATAAGATTATTCTTGTTTTCATCATAAAGGGCTGTAGGCAAAGACAAAAAAATCTATGTTCCCTCCTGTTTATATGTTATATTTCTCAACAATATTTTCTTTCTGCCCACCAAATGCACGTTTTCCCTTCTCAGCTCAAGCCTCATTCCAATTAAAAGGCACAAGACAAAYATGACATTGGTAAATCCACTTGCCAGGCATCTTACTGGTATTTCTCTTATTCCTGCCAAGTATTTTTCTATTGTTTTCCATCTCGAGGSTGAGGTAGAACACAAACACAAGTGTGCAAGAAAACTTCCTTGCATTGAGTAGAGATGTGCAGCTAAAGGTGACAACTCAGGTGGATTTGTAACAGTAAACCCAAGGCAGATGGCATCAAGATGTCACTGATTTACAGGATTGGCACTGATTTACACCCCCCAAAGGCAGTTTGCACCCACCTTTCACCAGAGTGTGTTTGTCCGTGGGGGAGGAGCGAGCCAGCACCCGCAGCTTTGGCCAGATCTTGTCAATCCGCTCCTGCTCAATCTGCGGGGGACAGAGAACACAAAAAAACAACCCAAACAGTGAAAATACTGGCCTGGAATGAGCAAAATGAGTATCATTGTGTCAGATGATTCCCCTCACCCCTCAAATGCGCATTTTTTCTCCAAAAGCACAGGAAAATTCCAGCAGCCATCCATGCTGCATGTGAAGGCATTCCTAGCAGGGCTCATCTGCTGGCTAACACAGGTGAATTCTGCCCCACTATCTAACCAGCCTTTCTTATCATCTTTATGGGCAATTCCACCCAGAATCATCACTCCAGACACAGGAGAGTGAGGTTTCTCAAAGCTCATCAAACATGTTTACAAGGTAGTAGTTCTGCTTTGCAGGAGAACCCAAGTCCTCCATTTGGCACMAACAGTGGCAGATTTTTCTCTGTGTAGCAATAGGAACAAAGCCAAAACTGTTGCATTTATTACCATTCCCAGGATTCCGTCCATCAGTGCAGAGAGCAAATGACTGTGTYCACTCATTCATGATAGACTCAAAGAACCAGCACAGATTTTACCTTTTTAGAGGTGTGTGWGCTCCATCTTTGATGAGGAGTTAAAAACCTTCCAAAGGACAGACTTTGATGCAAATCATTGATGTGAGTACATCAGACAAAGTGGAATAAATTAAAGAAATGAGAGGAGCTGGTTCTCAGTACACACTGCATTTTAAGGAGCAAAGTTGCTATTGAGCTCCTTCTCCTTGCCATAAACCTGCTTTAATGTGCTTAGGTTTGATTTCTGGTGGATTCTGCAGGATCAAGCCAGCACCAAGCTGATCCTGGAARAGCAAAGACTGGAATTTCCCTGCTGCTTGAGATTGCAAAAGTTTAGTGGGAGAAAGAAGCAGGAACTTTTCCAAGCAGTCTTTACTGCTATCCAACACACATTGGTGCAGGAGAATATTTCAGTGTTTCAGGGGGTTTCTTTACCTCTCCCTTCTCGTTGCGGATCCTCCTGTTGAACTCCTTCCCCTCGAGGCAGAGGAAATCTTCTCCGGGGTGGATGATGCCGCACTTGATGGCGATGGCCCGCGCCGTRTTGATGTTGTCCCCGGTGACCATGCGCACGGTGATCCCGGCACGCTGGCACTTGCGGATGGCTTCGGGCACCTGTGAGGGCAAGGCAAGGGCAAAGAGAGCTCCTGGATCAGGGATCAAACCACTTCAGCTGCTTCCAATCTGAAAATCTGCAGCTAAGAAATCCCTGAAGCAGRAAGAGGAACCAGACGGGTTGTGGCATCTCATTGTTACTGTTGTGGGATTTGGCTGACAGCACAGGCAAGGCAAATYTTGTATCAAGAAGCACAAAAACCAYCTTTCAGATYAGTTCCCTACATTTTCTCCTGGCTTGAATTAAAGTGAGTGCTCTGCAGCTTTCATGACCTTTAGTATGCTGAACATAACTACTCAAGGTGTAAATAGGAACAGAGAATACACAGCTTTTGTACTTAACTTCTGATCCAAACCTTCCTTTCAACAAGATGATTGTAAAAGTTGTTGTGATTTAGCACTACTTAATTCATGCACATCAACAGGTGGAATTCCTAAATACAGGAATTYAAAATTTCATGAGTATTTTATGTATTTCAAAATCATAAAAATGAAGCCTGACTTCAGTTATGTCCTTTTCTACATGAGACAAACTTCTGCTGCACAGGAAATGTATCAGGGAGAGGATTCAGGGTAACAGGGGCTGGGAAATAAATGTAGAGGCTCTATTCTGACTTGACATCATGCACAGCCTATTTWAAAAAAAATCACAAGATTTTTGTAATCAAAACATGCCAGAGCATGCAGAATCATTCCTAATAATTAAATAAAAATCTTTCAAGACATCTACTTGAAGCCTATAGCTCAATTTCAGATGAGGAAAAGATTCTGTTCCCTTAAACTACATCCTAAGTAACGATAATTTTTTAGTAAATACCACTAACCAATTAATTCAGTCTCATCACATTTTTGCATTATTTTGCGGTTTTATTATATGAAAGCATTATTTCTTCAGGAGAAAAATGGCAATATTATTTTATGTGGAAGAATAAAGAATGTGTTTAACATGTCCAAAACAGCCCAAAGGTTGTTGTTCASCACAGCACCAGTTCCCTGGTTTTTTTTATCAGTTTTATTTTTATCTGTAAGAGTCTAAGAGCAACCCAGGACTCCTCATGAAGACAGAAACCCTTCCCAGAGCTGCAGGGAAGTGCCCTACTCACAAGATGGCAATGCAAAAATATTAAAAAATAAAAAAACTAAAACCACAACTCTTTAGAAAAGGTATCCAAATGGACATTWTTGCCCATATTCTACTGCCAGTTCAGTGCACCCTGCTGACCAAAACCTCCAGCACGGATCTGAGTGAACTGTGGAACTCAATGCCAATCCCAGGGGAATAATCTCACCCATCAGGGCAGAAAATGCTCAGGAGTCGTCATGTCCACCATTCCACTGCTAATTCTGTGCATTTCTGGAGATTTTCATTTCCTCTGTAGCCACAAGCAGGGCACACTGCTGAGGGCAGGACACWGCATTTATTGCTCTGAGCCACTGTGGCAAATCCTGGGCTTTGAGGGATTTCCTGGGCCAGGAAAACTCTGTGTCTGTGCTGAAAACCCTCCACCCTCACACCACACACACAATGGTGCTCCCAGTCTGGGAACAATTTCACACCGTGCTTGTGCACATTAATTAAAGGCATTTGTGAAGGTCCTGCTCTCCAAAACACCTCCCTAAAACAACACCTCCCTGAGGACCAGAGCAGCACTTTTCCCAGGATTCCCAAAGAAATCGCTCCACCCTCAGAGTGTGTCCAGAGGAAATGCTGTTTGCAGAAGGATTCTGTCAGTACAGGKCACAAAATCGAGGACAGAATTCAGGGACAGAGCTTTWTCTCCCCATTTCCTCACCTCTAATYGAGAATATTTTCCCTGCAAATTGTACACCCTGGGAATATTCTTTGGACCTGAAGCCTTTTAGTGATATGAAATAGGTGTCTATAGGGGAATGTAGGATCAGATTCAATCTATTCCCTAAGCAAACGGCTCCTGATCTGCCCAGCTCCCACATTAATGCCCATTTGCCAATYTGAAATGCCTTTGGTAGCCACTGGAGCCGTGGTGAGCCTCACGCACAGGATGGGATGGATTGGGGTGAAGATCTGGAAAACCAGCCCTGTGGATGGACAAGGAAGGAGAAAATAAATCACAGCACAAGCAGGAGACAAGGGCTGCTCCCATGGAGTGCCAGTCCATTCAGCAAGGTCAGGGGAGGACAGCCCAGTCACAAACACATCTCCAACTCCCATCCAACTGGGGAAATCATCCTGTTTTCCTCTTCTGTCACTTTCTGGACAGCTGGTGGGTGGTATCTGATTTAATACTGTGTACAGTAATTACAGTTAAAATATTGTTCATATTTTTTTATTGCTGTAAGGGAGAAAGAGTGTTGGCAGACTGAGTGGGCAGAGGAAGCAGATATTTTCCATCAGATTTGCAGAGCTTAAGTACACATTTCACAATTTTTTGGTTTATTTTCCCTCTGCAGAGGAAAACTTCCAATGMATGCATACATGCCCAAAGTATCCAATGCAAGGAGATCTTTCCCAATCAGGTGACAAATAAATAGGAGATATTTGGAAGGGATTTACGTTCATCTCCCAGAAATAACAGACTGGAGGCGTTTTTTGGCAAATCAGTGTGAGCCAGTTCAGACTCATTAAAATCAAGCCAGAAAGAGTGTCAGGATCAACAGAGAATCTCTGCAGGAGAAGGGCATCACTCTGTTGGTTGTCTTCCTGTGTATTTATCAAAGAAAAATAAAAAACACATGCACAAAATATAAATATCAAGCAAGTAGCTGAGTGCAGCTGCTGGTGACTGAGCTGGAGTCTGAATTCACCTGGGAATTTGGAAAAGYCTTGGGTGCCCATGGTGGGCATTCCAGAGCAAACTGGACAGCTACTGCACATCAGTGTTGAATAATTCATACAAATTGGGGGTTTTAAGTATGGGGGAGATGTGAGTGCCAGAAATCTCCAGCAATACCCCGAGGATATCCCTGGAGGAGGAGAGAGGCAGGACCTCTCCAGCACTGCTGGAATTCCAACGGGGAATTGCTCCATGTGCCATGGGAACTCTCTGCCCAGCATCCATGGGACAGCTCCAGCAACTGCTCAGGGAAAGGAAAAASCTGAGCCTTCCCCAGGGACCCCAGGAATGTGACCCAAGGGAAGATAAAGGCTGTCAGGACGGGGACATTGGATTGCTTCACTGCAATTACCTGATCTAACACCTCAATGAATTCATGAATACTGAGAACATTGATAAAACAGCACTTCTAATTTTTGAGGGGGATTTTCCCCTACAGAAAGCACTTTGAAAATGCATAAACTCCAGTGGGGAGTCTATTTATTAAGCAGATTCCATTTTGGCAAAATATTCCCTATAACTGCTCAACATCTCACAATTTGCATCAACAGTGGGGATTTCACATATTCATATTGTGATATTCCAAACAAGTCAGATATTTCAAACTTAGAGATTTCTCTGAACTTTATGTTTTTCTCCTGGCTCAGAGTTTATTGGTTCATTTCTTTCCCCGAGGTACTGTTGCTCCTTCTTATAATGTGCAGAGAAGTAATAATTTAAATATTAGTTTAAATATTTTCATGATGTTATTGACACTTTGAAACAGTCAAAAGGTACAAGGTGGAAAAAAAAAACCCAAATAATAAACCAAAACCCAAAGTCCCAAATTCCAGACGTCCAACACTTGGTAAAATTCTGAAATTACAAACATTTTATTTTGTGTCTTGCACTGAAGTAGAAATGTTCCTACATGTTCTRGTGTTAAACGACAAGAAATTCAATACAATATTCAAATATTTATTTAGAAATAAGATGTTTTCCTGCCTTCATCTCTTTGATTCTTTACAGAGAAGTCAGATTTTCCCTCTATTTTTRGCAGCGTTATTCGCTTTTACCTCAAGCTCTGAAGAAATTATTCCCTGCGAGATAAGAGCAGCTCTCTCACAAAACAGCCTCCTAACAATCACATGAAAGGAGAGTTTGCAGCTATTTTCCATAATAACTGCAAATCCCTCTGCTCCCCAATCCCTCAGTCTGTCACACYGCACGGAGCCTGACTCAAAGCTGTTTTCCGACATGGATCAGGAATCACTTTGGGGAGGGAGAGAGGATTGATTCACAGCTCCAGTGGCCGCTGACAAAATATTTCTGAAAATACACATCTACCTATCTTTTCTGCTAAACATTTTTTACAAAATATCCGTATCTGGGAGCTGGAGCATTTAAGGAACACTGCAGGCAGAACTTCTAAAGGACATTTTCCAACATTTTTGAAAGCCCTGCAATGTCAGGCGTGGGGACAGATGGATTAGCAGCAAGAGACCATCTGATGGCAGATAAAGGGGATGCTGTTTATCTGAGGTTTGTGCAGATAAGGAGTTTATCATACAATTGTCACCTAAGCAAGATTTACTTTATATTTTAACCTTCATATTGAGAAAAAAAAACAACACAATAAACTCCATTCTGAGACAAGGCACACTGGTGCAGTTGGTACCTGAGGCTGTGTCATGTTAATTCCAAACTCTCACTATTTCCAAACCTTAACCTGGAATTAACTCTCYATTAATTAATTGATTAGAAAGATCWGAATTGTCTAACTCTACCCTTTGTATTTCTGTAGGAATATCATTTACAAGCATAGTAGCAGGGATGTGTTTCCCATGTGCACACCCAATACTGRTTTACTCAGCTGAGGTGAGCTGAACTTTTACTCGTATTAGTACAAGCCATGCAAGTGTGATATCCATGACATCTGCAGCCTTTCTTTGTCCAAACACAWCATGAAAACAAATTTTCTTGAGTGGCCACTGGGTACAGTCTTAAATAAAGTGGCAACTATTACAATAAATGGCAAAACTCCTGTTTCTGTGGAAACTGCCATTGTTATCATGGCAATTTTAATCACTGCATTTGTCTTCCCGCCTTTCAGAGTTGCACATCACTGCACTAAAAGGAAAATTCTTTAACACATCGGAACATTATAAAACCTCTGTTTATCATCTCAGCCCTGTGGTTCCAAAAGCCCTATATTTATTTCAATATCAGCAGACTGATGGTTAAATTTTATCACCTTAATTATTTGGCTTTCTATTGAGTAAAACCAATTTCTAAAGCTGATTTCCACTTTCTTTGACAGAGCTAATTAAAAAAAAAAAAAAAAGAAATTAAACCAGCAAGAAAGCTGTCATTGAAGTCATGCTCTGTTTTATAGAAGGTAAGAACTGGATGTACCTCTGGCCTCACTGGGTCCTCAATGCCAACGACACAGATGCAGGTCAGGTCAGATAAGATGTCRTTCTCGTTGTCCCAGTCGGGCTCGGGGCTGCTGGGGAAGTCTCTGAAAGCCACACAGATGGTTCTCAGCCCATCACAGGCCATGGGCTCGATCACCTTCTTCACCATCTCRTCCCTGTCGCGGGGCCTGAAGATCCGGGGCTCACCGGCCGCGTTGAGGATCCTGGAACACCTGGTTTGGGTAAGGAAAAGAGGATCAAAATTGGGTGTGTACCCACATGACTGCCAAAGTAYTGCCTGTGTAAGCTCAGCTCAGTCAATGCTTTCCTTTCCTCATGGCAAGTTTCCAGTTTCTGGTGTAAATTTTCAGCAGATTCACCACTGAAATATCAGAGAGAATTTGTAACTTACTGCACAGACACCAAGAGCTCTTCATGTGTTGTTTCCTCAATACCCAATGCGCTGACAACTTACAAGGAAATCGAAAATTCCTTATTTTCCAAATGGGTTAAATTTAAAGAATCCATTTGGAAATTACCAACATCAGACTCAATTCTTTGGCAGGGAGTGATAAGAAAAATCAGCCAATTTTGCAAGAGTGAGCACTTAAGAAAATTAAAAAATAATAAGAGCCCCTTATGCTGCTAAAGTGTGCCACATTTCTGGTGTAAGCAGCGAATTCCAAAGGCCAGAATTCCCATGAATTAGTGTCAGAACGCTCTGCAGTTTGGAAAAACAAGGCCCTGATCCCCAGCACTCACTTCTTGAGCACGATCTCGGAGGCRCCTTTGCTGTACATGCGGAAGCTGCCGTCCGGCATTTTGATGACCGTGCTCATGGAYTTCCTCACGGAGTTGAAGGTGTAAACTTTGTAGAGCTTCTCCTCGGGGATGAGGCTCCGGACGGGCTCGTAGTCCTGCTTCAGATCCAGGACAAATCCCAGGAGACCACACTCCGTCTTATTGCCCACCTGGCGAGGCAGCCCACCCTCCTTTTCTGGTGGCTGGACAGGAGAAAACAATTGGAGATCAATTTCTCTAATAATGAGCAATGAGACAATTTGTGAACTTACAGGSCACAGTTTGAGATCTGAGCTGTGCAGCCACAAATCTTCCAGTTTTTAAAAGCAAGGAAAAAGATCCATAGAGCTCCAACAGACCTGAAGCATCTCCTCACAAGAAACATTTCTCCAGACAGTATTGGCTACATTGGGTATATTGCATTTCTTTTTCTCAAATTAGTCATTGGCAGCTTGTGATGGTTGGGCAATCCATTAAAAAGGAAATAACTTTCTTTAGGCTCAAAACCAATTCTCACTTGTCACAAAGAGAGGAAATMCTCTCTTTTCTCTCTTAGCATTACATTGATTTGCTGGTTTTCACAGGTCAAACAGGGAGTTAAAGAAAGCTCTATCCTTCTGTTTTCCAACCAGGCTTTTTTATGTATAAATAAATCTCCATCCAACCATAACAACAAATCTCAGTGAAAAAAAATCTATGAAATAATAGTTCTATATCTAAATGTACCCATTGCTAGAATTGCTTTAGTCTGCTGCTTCAGACAAATAAATGCTTTATATGTTAGAAAAAAAAGGAGCAGACTGAACACTGTGCAACCTCTACCAATTTTTAGTCCTTCTGRAGGACARAAGGAAGGAAAGAAGGACAAGGAAAACTTCACCCTCCCTTTCAAAATATAAACAAACCTTTCCTTTTCAAACTTTCTTGGAAGTGTAATACTTCCCCCAAACAAARCCTTCCTGAGTCAAGACCCCAGACTTAAAGTGACCACTGTGTGAACCATAGACTGTTGATAATTTATATTTTCTTATGTTCAGCAGAATTAGCAAAATGTTCCTTAAGCCAGGGCTAAACTCCTCTTATGGGAATAAAAACAACAGGAAATTATCTCACAGCTTTAATTTGCACTGAAAACAGATTTTGATTTGGCTCAAGACTCTAAGTCCTCATTTTCAACGGGAGTTAAAAGATTTACCTCACATTTTGCAGAATTAGGACTGCAGGACTGTATTCAGAATCCAGGTTTAATTTCACTTTAAAATCCAGTTTATTTCAGAAATGGGATTCCTGAGAAGATGGAATTCCCCWCATTGTGCCTCACTGGTTGAGGGCTCATGTAGGGAATGATTAAAGCTGCAAATCTCATCCTACTGGATCTGAATTCTTGCACCAATTGTGGCCACAAGAAGGGGAAAGGAGACCTTTTAAATAAGCATTAGCAATTARTTATTCCAGAAAACCACTAATTGCAGCTGTTGTAAAATATGAAGGTCAGGTAACAAGCTGGTCTAAAACTGAAGTAAACAAATAAACACGAATTATTTCCATAAGAATCATGTCCCCRTCAGCAGGAAGGTTTATACCTGGTGACAGGTAGATTAATGTCATTTCTTTTTCAGAGAGATACAGCCACGATGAACAACACAGAATGACCTCCAAATCTGTCTCCAAGAGATTTATCCTCCCAAAAAGGATTGTAACATCTTTCTTTTACGTGAACCATCATTTTCACTGACTAATGTGGGTCATTCTGGTGTTGCCACGACATTTTAACATCACTCCAGGGCCATTGTAAAACACTGACATTCAGCAAAAATGCCARCGTGAAATATTAATTTTATTACCTGCTGTAACAACTTGTCCAGCTATAACCTCATTATACTGTGATGTAACTTCCCTCTGGATTCTCAAATTGACTTAAGGATCCCTAATTCAAAATGCAAGCGGCTCCTAGAGAGGTGCATCTGGAAGGAGCTGCAATCAGTGGGCATGAAAATCTCAGGAGTCAAAAAAATACCCTTTAAAATACAGTTTTGCTTCCATAAATAAGGTTTGTTTGCCTGGCTTTGCAGGCACAGAGTTCCTCAAATGTGCCAAGGATTTCAGGTTTCTCAAAGCAACAGAGGAATCAGCTTCAGTGCTTGGGTAGTGATGGATGCAGGGAAGATCCATTCCTCTGGGCTCTATTAAATCCAGCTCTTTCCATTTGAGTTCCAAATCCTCATTTATGTGTCTCTCTGCCATTGAACTCAGTGAAAATTGACATTGAATTTAATGGGAATGTGATCAGGCCACTGGAACAAGCATGGAAATCAAGGAAAGACAAAGCTTCCCATCAAAGGCAGACATTCCTAGACAATAATTAATTTTTTACCAATTATTTCATCATACCTGATGTGAATGGATATCAAGAAAATAAAAACCTGCCCACATTACACCTTGCAAAAAAACTAAATATCAGAGTTCTTCCAAAATCCTCTTTATTTCAACAAAAAGTAGATCACAGCCCCCTGTTCTCGCTGCGGCCTAAAAATAGCCTCCTTTCAGGGAACATCTTTTGAATGCAAATACGTAAGCAAGGGGGAAAAAATACCCGTGAAGAGCAAAGGAACAGACACTTGGGAAAGGTTTCAAGAGCTAACAAGTGGCCACCTCCCTGCAGAGCAGCTGCTGTCTCCATATTCTGCGTGCATTACAGGAGGGTAAAGCATATGGTGCTGAGAGCTGGCACGGAGCACTTCCTTCCCTGCACTGTCCAGCTCACAATCTATATGCCAAGAGCAGCCTCCTTGCAGATTGTTCTTGACAATCCCTTGCAGAAGCTGCTGCCTCTCAAACTTCCTGCTGTGCTGCCGCTAAATTTATTTCTCGCTGAATGCTGCACTTCGTGGCACCTGGAAAACAAGGACAGCTCGATGGGGTTACTCTGGAATGATGGAGCGGGAACAGCTTTGGGTCCTGGCAGGATGGAGCCCTTGGAGAGGGAAAGTGGAGCTGTGTTTGCCGAGGGCAGCGCCAGGAAGGACCTGTGCTCCCCARGGCTCACCTCCAAACTGTTCCATCACCTGCTCGCCAGGGACTGAGCCAGGAGCTTCCCCCAGCCCTGACCCTGGAGAAATTCATTTCATTTCTCCYCAGCCTTTGTGTTATTTACCAGCGACATTTCAATCACGCGCAACTTTTACTCAGCTGTAAAAGAAAGCCCAGACAGATGTTTCAAAAGCAGTGGTTACCAGCAGCACATCGAAATGGGTTTCTAGGTCAAAGTACAGCTGCTTTACCAAGGCTTAAAAATACCAATCCAAAGCCAGTATTGACCTGATACTGAATTTGGATTACAAAGGGAATTTTCAGAATTGTTTCACTGGRAAATAACTGACTAATAAAAGGTTGTAAGAAGAAAGATAAAACTCTGGGCATAACTTAAAGAGGTGCTCCAACACCTAAAATTAGATGAGGAAATAATTCACATTTTTACCAAAATTCTTTACAAAACCTCCCTTTTCTCACTGCCCCTTCTGATGTGAGGAGAGAGGACTCTGCGAGCAGATCCAATGGTTCTTCTAAATTTAAATGTGAGCATTTCACATATTATCTGAAGGCTTCATTTGTTATATGTAACTCTCCTGTGTTCTGCAGACTGAACTACTTCTCTAGAATAATGATGACTACAAATACTCTMATTTATTAACATTAAAAAATGGGCTTGTCTAGAATACTATTTCACTATTGAGTGTTCTACTTCAACTCAGAATCACAGCAGGAAAACAGAMAGGAAAACAAAAAAAATTAAAATTAAATTGCAAAAGATTTCCACTCCATACTCCATTTACTCAAACAAAAGAGAAAATGGACCAGGATGTGCAGGAATTTTCTCTGTAGAATGAAACATGATAAATGTAAAATTTAAAATAACCAAGAAGGATGAAGGCTGTTCAAACCACAGGTTATTTTTAATTTTTAATGCCTAATACTGTAAAAAGAAGAACTACTAAAAAACTACAGTGTTATTAAATTCAGAGATAGTCCCTCATTGCCTAATTCAAATTAATATTTTAACGTAAAAAATCTAAAAAATACTAAAATATATTCATTTATGACCAAATGTTTCAGCTTTTTGTAGATTCAGCTTTCTTCAACKGACTCCAAGCTAAGCCAACAGAGCTTTAGAAATGACAGTTTATCTGAGAAAAGCTGCACAATGTAAGGGAGAATCCTTTACAGCTAGGGATTTTGAAAACTCTGTTTAACTAAAGAAAGTTTCCTATTCCAAAATGGTTCCAAAGGCTCTGTTGATTGTAAGAAAGCAGTGAAACACCTTCAGCTGGTTTCATTTGAATTTAGAATTTCTCAGGGGTTCTGGTGCCAGAGCAATGGTTTAACCCCAGTTGGCAACCAAAAACAGAGCCCCTTGCTCACCACCCCTTCCCCTGGGATGGGAAGGGCAGGAAAATTAGAAAAATATCAACCCCATGGACTGAGATAAGAACAAACACCTGGCAGCAGCTGTGCACCCTAAAACGCTGTGAATTTATTTCCATAAAGTCTTTATGTGGGAATAAAAATCAGTCTTTCTGTCTGTGTAGACTCTGACCTCTGTAACCCTCAAGAAGAGATTTTAAATAGTAAAAAAAAAAAAAAATAATAATAATGACAACAACAACAACATCGATGATAATTCTGTTTGTACTGTTTGGAATTTCAGGGCTGTTTCCATGCTGCTGCCCCTGTTTTACAGAGCAGATCTCTGTGCTAACACACAGCTACTCCCCAGCTCAGAACCCTCCCTGCAAGGTACAGGGCTGCTGAAATGCAGTTAAAATAAAGGCAAAAGTCAGTTTGAATTGGGGTCAGCAAAAGGGATTGGAGAGGAGCAGTTCTGAACTCGGGGCTGGTTGTGTAACCACTGTGGCACCAGGAGATCCCGACTGCAGGACTTCCCACACTGTCCTGAGCTCACTGGCATTCAGAGCCCAACATTCCCAACTTTACAGCTCTGATGGCTTTTGTTACTCTTCTGCACAGGGCTGAKTGGATTAACTTCTTGTTCCCATGCACTTATATTGTTCCTGTGCACCAGAAAGGAAATTTATTTTCTTTTTACCTTCAAAAGATTAAAAATATTTATACACTGAATGGATATCAATCTCTCCCTTTACATCAGTCCCCAAGAATGAGGGGTCCACATCCCTTAAGGACAGCG